ACCACCATCGCCCTCACTTTTCATTTTCTCGCATCGCGACACCCAACATGATGCACACAAAGCTCACGGTTGCTGCCTTGGCCATGGCGTCGGTCGCGGCCACCGACATCTTTTCGGACGCGACGCTGGACGCGATCAAGGAGCTGCAGCAGTGGAAGGAGAGTGCGGCGGGCCAGAAGGCCATCGAGGCCGGCTTTGTGCCGACCACCGAGTCCGACGGCCGCCAAGAGGCTGGCACGACGCTCGAGGCCGTCGAGCTCGAGCGCTTCCTGGAGACCAAGAAGATCGTCGAGCAACTCAACAAGGACTACCCGGACGCCGAGTTCTCGGTCGACAACCCGTTCGCGCTCCTCACCGAAGACGAGTTTGCGCAGTACGTCATGGAGTCGTTTGGCCCGCCGACCCGCAAGTTGCGGTCGACGCACCCGGTCGGACGGGACCTCTCGGTGGCCCAGCGCCAAGCCGAAGACGAGAAGGACTGGTCGAGCCACAAGTGCAACGGACCGGTCAAGCACCAAGGCGGCTGCGGGTCGTGCTGGACGTTTGCGGCGACGGGCCAGGCCGCATTCTCGCACTGCCTTGCGACCGGCGAGCTTCTCGACCTCTCGCAACAGCAGCTCGTGAGCTGTGCGCGCGACGCCGGCCAGGGCTGCAAGGGCGGCTGGCCCCCGAACGCGCTCGAGTACATTCGCAAGACCGGTGTCTGCATGGACGCCGACTACCCATACGTCTCGGGCAACACCAAGCAGGACGGCACATGCCAAGAGTCGTGCAAGAAGACGAAGCTCCAGATCGGCGACACGGTTGAAATCCAAGGCGAAGGCGCGCTCCAAGAAGCGCTCAACGACCAGGTCGTCGAGGTCGCTGTCGAGGCCGGCAACAACGTATGGAAGAACTACAAGAAAGGTGTCATTCGGCAGTGCCCCGGCGCGCGCGTCGACCACGCCGTCATTGCTATGGGCTATGGCACCAAAGACGGTGTGAACCACTTCAAGATCAAGAACTCGTGGGGCACGACGTGGGGCGAGCAAGGGTACGTGTACCTCGAGCGCGGTGTCGGCGGCAAGGGCATGTGCAACGTCGCCGAGTACCCGTCGTATCCCAAGCTGGCATCGTCGCCCAAGCCGACGTCTGACAAGCCGACGCCCGCGCCAACGTCGGACGAGCCCTCGAACGAACCCACAGACGAACCCACGAACAAGCCCACGACCAAGCCCACTGGCAAGCCCACTGGCAAGCCCACGACGTCGCCCACGACGCACAAGCCCAAGCCGACGCAGCAGCCCAAGCCGACGTCCGGCGAGCCGACGACCAAGCCGACCCCGACGTCCAAGGCGCCGTCCAACAACTGCGGCGGCTGCACGGGTTGCTACTACCCCAACCAGCGCGCGTGCCAGCCGGCCTTTGACAAGGCCACGTGCGACGTCATGACGCCGTACTATGGTACTATCTGGTGCGGCAACTAAGTGGTATAGTGTCCATTGTGTCTTGTATGACTAAAAACCACGTCGTTTTCCCTTTCCAATCTTGTGTTGCGATCTTGGAATCCAAATCATCGAGGTGGCCAATCAGCATTCGGCGTGGACATCAATTCGGCCAATGAAAGAGATTGCAGCTGCGACCCAATCCGCAGGCTTCATTCGTGATGATTGCAGCCGATCGGTGCGAAGCAGCAGACGAAATCGTGGCAACATGGCTGCAAAGATGGCCAAATTGGCAGCAAGCGGTGGGCTCTGCGGCGACCAAGGCAACCACGTGATCGCCAAGTGCCACCGCTTTGACGACGTTGATGGGTGAGACCGCCGCAGCTCACAAGCAGCAACAAGCTTACATCGGTTCTGCCATGTAGCGAAGGCACTCTTCCTGCCTCCGTGACCGCTTCTGGTCGAGGTCATTGCGCGTGGTGACCTTGTCTTGGCATTTGCCGTAGCTACTTTGTCCGTGAAGACAACAACAATTGCAGTCGGGACACTGCTCGGCCTCGTCTCGGCCGCCGTCTCGATGTCAACAAACGCAAGCGCTGGGTCGAGCTGGTCGCCAAGCAGCGTCGTCGAGGCGGCGCATTTCCTACGCAATGCTTTCGGTGTCGATGTTGGTGCATGAAGAGGCTGCCGGTGGCGCGGACGGTTTGTCTTGGCTCCTGCCTCTGCAGGTCGTCGCCATCGTCGAGCGTCAAGTCCAGCGCCAACACACACCGTGTCGATGCCAAGAGAAACTAAGTCGACGGAGGCGCTGCCAGCGTACGACTGATCCCCGACCCAAGCCAACACGAACAACGCCGCGGTGCGCTTTGGATGCATGTAGAGACTTTGCAAGAGTCTGCAAGGTCCCACCCAAGCCACGTGCTGCGTGAGAAGCAAGCATTGAACGGGACTTGCCTCCTGATCTACCCCACGGAAGCCGCGATTCGGTCGGCCACACCTCGACGACGACGATCTCCTTGCGTAGATCCTAGTCCTACCCCTCCAGAGTCAACTGCGCTCCTACAGAGCTAGCTAGCTCGCTCCTACGACTACGACGATGAAGCGCGTGCGATGCGGATGAATTGCGCCGAGGGGTCCCTGCGATGGCCACGGACATTCACACGCAGAATGGCCAAACCACACACCACTAGGACATCGTTTCTCTGTACTATTTACGGGTTCGCAGTCCGAATAATGCATGCGACGAAAGCACGTTCGACTGATTTATCAGACATCTACCGACGCGTGGCTAGAAGGACTGCGTATCCGACACCCGACTGACACCCCTAGACCTACCCTAGACCTACCTCCGGTGCCATCCAGGTCCGCGGCCGTCGCAGATGAACCCATGTTCGACGCCGGAGATCCGAGCTCCCGCTGCCTCTCCGGCTCGGTCAGTATAGCGTCTCTGTGCTCTGGTACATAAATCCCGAGTCAAATACAGTACGCGCCCGGGTAAAGGACTCACGGGATGTGAGCACCTGGGTGCTACATCAGAGAACGAGACTGCACTTCCGAGCCAGCTCTCCACGCCCGAGCTGTCGTGGACCTGCTCAAGAGCTTGCA